GGGGAGGGGGCACCAAGAGGAGGCAGAGGCAAATAATAGGAGAGATAACAAGTGCACTTTGGTTATCTTGTTGCATTTTTGGAATGAAAACCTTCTTCCTGTGTCTAAGAGTCACAAAGAGAAAAGTGCATGAATTAAGAGGACAAGAACCTCTGAGCAGAGCCTCCAGTTAGAGGTGCCCTATTCTCACTTAATTATGTTACAGAGCCACTGTCTCCTCTAGGAGTTATGGAAAATGCCCGTCTCCAAATCTGTATTTGCAGATTGGAATGAAAGCACAGGAAATTATGTGGGGTGATGAGGGAGAAACTGGAATGTCACAAGTATAGTAGCAACCAGGATGTAAAAAAAAAAAGGATCTACTATAGAGTTCAAATTTCATTACAACAAAACTTCTGTATGATGATAATACATTTCCATTTCTCAGCTAGTGTGTTACTCTGTTTCAAGCAGTATTTAGAGTCCTAAGTAACAATTGCAATAAAATTATTTGTACAAGTTCTTGAAATTCATAACAACAAAAGCGGCCCTGTGGGGGCTCTCTGGTTTCTTACCTGAATTAAATGTATTTTTATTCCCTAACAATGCAAGTCAGATCAGTGCTTAATAAATACTGGCTCGGGGGTGGATCATTATATAAGTTTAGACCTGCATTTCTTTGAAATCTAGTCAGATTCTGATGACCTTTGTGATCGTTATAGCAGTGATGAGAGGAATTTTTAATGGAGTTATACCCTAACTCTTCGGCATCACATATACTTTTTGCTTCACTTTTTAGCTTCTCAGAAAAGGGAGAGCTCTCCTAGACAGTACACATTCTGTGCCCTTGACTTCCTAGGCTGTTTGATTTCAACATGTAGGAACCTAGGCACATATCCACTGTCCTTTTGCTTTTTCTTTGTAAGAAAGAGGAGAACTCCTCGCACGAATATATCGTTGACTTGGCCTTTTTACCAAAGCTAAGCTCATTTGATTTTGCCTGGGAATCCTCAGGGTGCCTAGAGATGAAAACTTTGAACTAAGAGGAACTGCTACTGTGCAAGTGATATCTGAAAGATTTGTAATCAAGGCCAGCAGGAACTGAAAGCCGGCCACTACCAAACGTATAAAGCCGATTTGTGGCCACTGTACTTATAATCGTGTATACACCGCTTTCTGAACAGGAGAGCACAAAACCGAGTAAACAAAAAAACAAACTAAAGATGGCGTCTGTCAGCCTTGAAAAAGACTCGCAGTCGTGTCCCTCCCTGAAGAGGCCCCTCCCCTCCCTAGCTCCTTGAGTGACTGTGAATTGCGGCCAATAGTGTTCCTGGTTCTGCTCCCCTCCCCTCTGCCAAACACCAATCACCCGGGGCCAGAGGGCGAGAGGGGCGGTGCCTCCCCGCGTGCGCGCTCTGTGCGAGTACACGAGCTGGCGCGGCGGGTTCCTAAGTCTCCCGCGCGCTCGCTTCGGCTTCGCTGAGTCAGCCGGCGCCGTAACGCGGGGCACACGCGGTGGAACCCTCGTAGGCTGCCAAGGCGGGACCCCTACTCCAGTTACCGCGAGGAGCGCCGCCCTCAGCCCAAGTCCTCAGAGCTTTCGTGGCCACATAGTCTACCTCACCCAGTGAGAGCCCTGACTGCATCTCGGGCCCTTCTACTCTCCACCGCCCTCCTTGAATTACCCCTTTCCCCGGGACCTCCAGGACACACTGTGTGGCTGGGCACAGTTGCCTGTCGCTCTGTCCCCTGCGGCCTGGAGAGCAGTGACCGATCTCTGTGCTGTCTGCGTCGCTGCGATCGTCTGCCTGTAGCTGAATCACACTGTCTCATCGGAAATGATTCTGCTGTCCCTGGTGTCCACCTTGTCATCTTTGACTAATATTTAATCAACTAACATTTACCGAGGGCTCGCTGGCCAGAGAGAGTTCTAGGAGACGGTTTTTCATTTTTCAGTTTCTCCAGAAATGCAGTCCTTTACGTTAGGCTCGTTTATATGAAAACCTGAAACTGCAAATTTTAATCCTATCAACTTGCACTTTAGCAAATGTGAATAAAAAGCACTGCACTATGCTGGGTTAGAAACTCTTGTCCTACTATACAAGTATACTTGGAATTTTTGGATTCCATGGAATACTTTTGTTTAAGACCCCATTCTGGCCTCTGGGTCTACAGTTTCTTTTTTACCACTAAAAATGAGGTGTGGGAAAATAGTGTTTTATGGTATTTGCTTACCTGCCCTTGTGTGATAAGGAGTTCATTTCTGATAGAAATGGATTTTGAGAGGACCTTTTGACAGGTGAGCCATTTTGCACCTTGAAGTGGAGGAGTAGGGCTGAACAACACAGCAGGAGCTTTAAGTGTCCATTTTCTTTATTTATTTCTTAAAATGAAGATTATGATATGAATTGCCATGCTTTCCGTAATCACATTTAAGGAAGTCCATTGCTAGCATGACCCTGAATGAGTCTAGGGCCCATTATAAAAACATATATCATCTGAGTGATACCAAATCATACATATCTATTAAACAGTGGGAAAACTTTTATTTTTCATAGTTTGGAGGTGAATTCAGTCAAGCAGAAAATTCAAACTCAGAATGGGGAGAACATAAGCAAGGGAACTGCCAAGAATATGATATATTTAGTTCTAACAAAAATACATGTGACTTGGGAGGAAAGGGATAGTTAAAATTATGGACAGTCTCACCCTGAACTGTCTGTCTAAAGCAGATGAATTTTCTTTTTCTTTTTATCTAAATATTTATGAAAAAAATATCAAAATGATTGAAAAGTACATTTTCCAGGCCCATTTCACAAGTATTTAAATTAGATCGATACTGAAATGAACCCACAACACATATTAATATTTTTATGCAAACCTAAATTTGACATCTACTGTCATGTTGTGTTGGCAATTCATCATAAGATTGAAGATCTTTTTCTTATTATCCAATTCTAAAAGTTGATAGCATTTTGCAAAAGGCATATATATTATTCTGTGGTGGTCAGTCTTAGTTTATTCATCTTTTCTCTTTCTTGAGCAAAAATATGAACTCTTGGTTTTCAAATCAATTATCTAACAATCTGAAATTGCAGAAATTGACAGCATTAATAATTTAACAATAATGATAAAGATATTACTAGTATCTATCCAGGAATATACAAGAAGAATAAAAAAAAAAAAGATATTACTAGTGTTAACCATTGCTTTGCCAAAAATTCCATAGATTATTGAATTAAATAGTTATGCATTTTGAGAAGTAAAATAAAGATATCAGAATAAAGTTGGATATGTTAATAATGTTGGCAGGGTTGAGTGGGCTGGAGAGCCTTAAGCCAGTGATAGAAAAAAGCAAGAGTCATTATGTCAGGTTTGGAGTGTTAGAGGAGAAGAACTTAGCAGGTTGTAACAACAGATAATACAGTAGTGTCTATAATAAAGTTCTATTAACATTTTGAATTATTCATACTGAGAAAAATCTGTCTCCAAAGTAAAAAGAGTGTCTGTATGGTGTACAACTTATTTTCCTCTCTCCACCCCAATAAATCTTTGTCCCCTTGCATTCATCTTTTTCTTCTCTGAAGACAAAGGGAAGAGCTTGCCCTCCTTTCTTATGTTGGGGGGCTCCTTGCTAAAAGAAAACTTATATCCTTTCCTAATGTCTTCATTCATTATTTTCTTACAGGCCTTTTTCTTTCTGCTTTTTAAATATACTGAAGCTTTCTATGTCTTGAAATACTTTAATCCTTAAAGCCCCTTCTGACTTCTTTACTGTTTTCTTCCTTCCTTTCTTTTTTTTTCTTTTTTTTCTATAAAAAATTAATGTTTTACATTTTTCTTTTTTTTAACAGCAAAGGATAAGTATTCAGACAAACTTCCTTCTTTTCATAGTTAAACTCTAGAAAACTTGACTTCTTGCTTGCTTCTTTCTTCCTTTCATTTTGTTTCCACCCAATTCCTCTTTCATTTACTGCAGAATATTGCCTTCATTACAAAAAAAAAATTCTCTCTGGTCATCACAAATAACCATCATGGACAAATAAAATTTATTTCCTTAATTTTCATCTTTTTTAACCACTCTGCTGCACTTGTCACAGTTGATTAGGTACACTTTCTTGACATTTTTCTCTGCTTTGGCTTCCATACACTGGTTTTTCTCCCATCTCACTGACCATTCTTTCTCAAGTTTCTCTTTTAATGAAGCCTCTTTCTTGGATTGGCTTGAAGTGTTGTCCTTGGCCTTTGCATTTCACACTTTACACTTACCCTTTGGAGAGTTCATGCACTCTCTCAGTTTCAACTGCCATCCTCTTGCTAAAGATTCCAAATCTGCATTCCAGCTCTGACCTTCCTTTTGTTTTTGTGTTTCAGTCCCAATCAGTTGTTTTCAGGACTTTCCACTGAAACATACTGCCATCAGTTGAAATTTAACAAGTTAAATAAATACAGTTCTTCTCTATAACATACTGGTGGCTCCTCTAAACTGCCTCATTTTTATCATTGTGTGGGTGGTGACCCTCAGGTTTATAATCTTGTAGTCATCTTTAACCAATATCTCTAACCCCCATATTTATTAAGTATAGAAGTATCAATTCTTCCTCCAGGATTTTGAACCTTCATATCCACAACCCTCATTCTCATCACCTTACTTCTGGGTCACTTAAACATTCTTCTAATCTCTTAACTGTTCCACTGCGGGTATCTAAGAGAGGAATTGGCAAACTAATTTTTTTTTTTTTTTTTTTTTTTTTGAGACAGAGTCTCGCTTTGTTGCCCAGGCTAGAGTGAGTGCCATGGCGTCAGCCTAGCTCACAGCAACCTCAAACTCCTGGCGCAAGCAATCCTCCTGCCTCAGCCTCCTAAGTAGCTAGGACTACAGGCATTCGCCACCATGCCCGGCTAATTTTTTGTATATATATTAGTTGGCCAATTAATTTCTTTCTATTTATAGTAGAGACGGGGTCTCGCTCTTGCTCAGGCTGGTTTCGAACTCCTGACCTCGAGCAATCCGCCCGCCTCGGCCTCCCAGAGAGCTAGGATTACAGGCGTGAGCCACCGCGCCCGGCCTGGCAAACTAATTTTGCCAGTTAGTCCATGGGGTAAATCCAGCTTGCCACCTGTTCTGTAATGGCTTACCAGCTACAAATGGCTTTAACATTTCTCAGATAAATAATAAATATGTTTTTGTGACATTTCAGTGTCCACAAATAACGTTTTATTGAACACAGCCATGCTCATTTGTTAACATATTGTCCATGCAACAATGCACAGTTCAATAGTTGTGACAGAAACCACATGGTCTACGAAGCCTAAATTATTTACTTTCTGATCCTTTATAGAGAAAATTTGCTGATTCCTGGTCTAAGAGTTTCTTTAATTTGGTTTCAAAGTCCTCTGTCAACTCTCCTCACCTTTCTGTATAAGCCCCTTTGCTCTGACCTCTCACATGCACCGTGTTAAGTCCTATGACGTTGGTTTTTTGCTCTCTAGAATGTCTTACCACCCTACCAGCTCATCCTATACATTACTCAAGGATCAACTGGAGGCTTTTCTTCTACAAGAACTCCTTCTAAGCATGATTTCATTCTTTTGATCTTTCCATTATTTTGAACTAACTCCTCAGTTAGTTTTCAGGAAGTTTTCATTCTATACTGTATTTTTAGGACTTGTATTTTGCTTTGTTCTTTAGATAGTCCATGTTTAAAACATTCCATGTCCTAAAAAAACAAAAAACAACAAAAAAAACACAACATTCCATGTCCTTTAGACATTCCCATTTTGAAATATGCTGTAAGCTCTTTGTGTGTAGAGACTTTGTCTTCCCTTCATTTGAGTACTTAGTAGGTGGCAGTTCATTTTGGTGAATCATCCTTTAGCATGGTCTTACATATAGAGAATTTTTAGAAACTAGAAACACCTCTTTTTTCTCCCCCACTTGTTCGCCTTCTCTAATGGGGACATACGCAGTTAATGAAATTAGTGTTTTGTTGTGTTTTTAATCATTTACCCAGCATTTTAGTTGTTATCTGGCTAGTAAATACAATGTAAAAGGCTCCTTTATTATCTGCCGATCCTAATTCTTTCCATGTCTAGAGTTTAGGTAGCAGACTATAGCAGGGGGCAGGGAAATTAAGCCAGCAATAGAGTCCATGGAAATCAAAAAAGAGTTATTTGAATGCCCATTTTGCCACACTGCACTGTAGGTTTTTATAGTTTAGGTCTATTCAAGAAAACATCTATTTGTTGCCCTGAATGTGACACTCTGAAATGCACGTAGTATGGTAATATACAAAGTAGAAAAGCAGAAAAGAAATTGAGGAATAAATTGAACTCACAATAGGAAAATACATTTAGCATTAAAAACGAGCAGTTAACTATTAATATTATCCGTAGGCTAAGGCCAGGTCATGATAGTAAGTACATTATAAAAGGTCTGCATTGCCTTTCTCATTTGCATCACAAAAGGTTTTATACCTATAAACACATCCTTGTAGAGTTGAACTTATTACTTAGAAATTTGATATTAAATTTAGGAGCAAATTTCCCCAAATTCTATTTGAAGCCACTGCATTTTATTCAGGATTAGGGAATCAGGATGGGTGTCTGGGAATGGAGCACAAAAGGTTATCAGAATAATCATAATATCATCCCACTACTATGTGTGGAACACTGGCCATGTGCCAGCACACTATAGGTGCCTTACATATATTATGTGTTATCTTCATAACAACACTCAAACTAGTCAGTGATAAGAAAACTGGGACTCAGAAAAGTGAAATAATTTGCTCAGGTTCACACAGCTCATAAGTGGTACAGCCAAATGAGAACCATTTTTTTTTCTTTTACCTACAATGCAGTGCTGTTTTGGAAAGATGATCAAGGAAAGACCATAGAAGGGGAAGGGGAAGAGCTTGAGACAGGCACAACCCTGGTAGGGGTGAAGACCTCTTGCAAGAAAGAGTAAGCATGTAAGGCAAGAGAACTGAGTATAGCAGGTGTCAGTTTGGTACCAGAAAAGGATGAGAGAGCCCAGTGTCCCAATGTGATGCATCTTAATTTCTGACTTTACAAATACTAAACCCAATTGGCAAGCATTTGTATACTACCATCTATCACCAAAATATAACTTTATTTTTCTCACAGCAACCATGTTATGATTAAATTCCTTGCGTTATGGTGGTTAAAAAAAAAATACAAACAACCCACAAACAAACCTTGCAGGAGCAGTGTAGGCCTGTATTTAGGAAAGAAAAGAATACATAAATGATTCATCTCTAAATTGGCATAGAATTGCTTAGTGCTTTCCTTTAACCTTTAGTTTTAATTTGGTTTAACCTTTAGTTTCAGGTTTAGCGATGCCTTCCAGTGACTCTAATGACAGGGAAGCTGTAAATGGATTTAAGTTCCTGCAAAAAGTGAATAATCAGGCACAGAAAAGCCATTTCTTCAATATAAAGGGTGAAAAGAGCAAATTAAAGACTAGTCTTTAATAACCAAATGTAATTAAAATACATTGTCAGATTTATGTTTTAGTACCTCAGAGGCATTGATATGGTCTGTTTCTGAAATGAGATTGCTGATTCCAAAAAAAAAAAAAAATCTAGCCTTCAGGATATAGAAAATTCTCATAACCTCCTCCTCTCCTTTTAATTGTGATATTCTGATATAATTTACAGGGTAAAAGAGAAATGTATCTCTGGAGGAATTTGTAAACATACTTAAGGTTTTGTCACATATGGAGCTTCAAGCAGAAGGATTCTTTTTCTATAATCAAGTATCATTTAGAAAATGACAATATTTATTAAGTTCCTTGGAGTGTTTTCAGTGGTACAAATCAAACCCTCCTCTTTTTCTTTCTCCTGGTACTCCAGCAACTTCAGTTGCTTAACTACAGTCATTCAAAGGAGAGGCAGTTTGGCTTATTACTGACATTCTGGTTTCTCCTTTTATGAGGCTGGTCATGTGGGCAAAGTGGCCGCCTGGCTGTCAGACATTCCTGTTGAGCTTCTGCTCCTCCCTCCAGGGCCATAAGAAGTGGAGAAGAGGGGACCCAGAGGTATTTCTCTGGGCTACTGGCTGGAGGACTCAGGACAGCTAGTTTCCACTGCAGGGGCTGCAGGCCCTGGTATACAATGGACAGCAACGCGGCTGCACAGTCCTGGGTTACCCCACTTCAATTCCGTGATTCCACTTTTCATTTCATTTCCTTACCCTCATCCCCAAAGCATTAATGATATGATAGTGAGAGGCTGGTGACATGCTGAGGGCTGCAGTGATCCATGTATTCCTTATTCAGGAGTCTTACCCAGAATGCATCTGTATGAAAATTATAGAGAGGGTAGAATCATGATTGTTTATGTCAACAAAAAGTGGTATCAGTTAAAAAATAATACAACACTAGATTGAAAGTAGCAATAACTGGATTCTGCTGTCTTCCTCCGACCTTGAAAAAGACATATAACTCCTCTGCATATCTCTTCTCAAGACCCGGGGTAATGTGTGTTTTCTAGTGCTGTTGTGTAGATGAGGTAACGTACATGAAGTGTTCTGAACTCCTTAAAGAACAATATCATGGCCGGGCGTGGTGGCTCATGCCTGTAATCCTAGCACTCTGGGAGGCCGAGGCAGGTGATTGCTCCGAGGTCAGGAGTTCGAAACCAGCCTGAGCGAAACCCCATCTCTACTAAAAATAGAAAGAAATTAATTGGCCAACTAAAAATATATATACAAAAAATTCTCCAGGCATCGTGGCATATGTCTGTAGTCCCAGCTACTCAGGAGGCCGAGGCAGTAGGATCGCTTGAGCCCAGGAGATTGAGGTTGCAGTGAGCGAGGCTGATGCCATGGCACTCACTCTAGCCTGGGCAACAAAGTGAGACTCTGTCTCAAAAAAAAAGAACGATATCAAAGCAGTGAAATGCAATGGTGTTATTACAGTAAAGATAGTGAGGTGGGGGAGGGGAGACAGATCTACATTTTCTTTCTTAATCTCATGTTTCCAGATGCTGGTGGGTCCTTTGAGTCCCCTCTCTGCTCCTTAGATTGCAGTGGTGGGGGGTTCTGTGCTGGGGTGTGAGAAGAATGCCCCCTACCCTCTGAAACTGTGTTCATCCGGAAGGCCTTTGTAGGCATCACCCAGTGTTTTGTGCTAGGGGAGCTCAGGATCTGCAGATTGAAGAAGGCATCTCTCTCCCCTCTGCAGGCCGAGGACAGGAAGCCATGGACTGTGTGCGCCTCCAGGGCTTGCCCACTCCTCTTTCACAGAACCCACGGCCTGGTGCTCGGGCTCCTCAGGCCACCCTTGTTGAGAAAGGACAGTGAATCCAAAGAGGCCAGTGCTTCCCATCGAGCTTGTGAAGTCCAGCTGACTGGAAGTCCTTTTGGAGCAGCCCAGCAGCGTGAGCACAGTTGTTACTGCCCCGTCGGCCATGTCCTTCAGTGCCACCATTCTCTTCTCCCCTCCTGGTGGCAGCGAGGCCAGATGCTGCTGCTGTGGCTGTAAGAGTGAGACTGGTGGGGGCAGCGCAGGCTCTCAGGGCGGGAATCCTCCTCCCAGCACCCCCATCACAGTGACTGGACACGGCCTGGCCGTGCAGAGCTCAGAGCAGCTCCTGCATATTATCTACCAGCGGGTGGATAAGGCAGTGGGGCTGGCTGAAGCTGCTCTGGGACTTGCCAGGGCCAACAATGAGTTGCTAAAACGTCTCCAGGAGGAAGTGGGTGAGCTAAGGCAAGGGAAAGTGTCCACCCCTGACGAAGATGGGGAAAGCCGGGCACATAGTTCCCCACTTGAGGAGCCTGGGCCTCTCAAAGAGAGTCCCGGGGAAGCCTGCAAGGCTCCGTCTGCCGTGGAGGAGGAGTGTGACAGCGTGGGCAGCGGCGTGCAGGTGGTGATCGAGGAGCTGCGGCAGCTGGGAGCGGCCTCCGCTGTGGGGCCTGGGCCTCTGGGCTTCCCGGCCACCCAGAGAGACTTGCGGCTCCCAGGATGCGCGCTGGCAGCCAGTGAGGGGACCCCACTGCTCAATCCTGTGAGTATGGCAGAGGGTTGCTGCTCCCGAGCACTTTTGCTGGCCTTTCTCTCTGCTTTTTCCCCTCTCTCTGTTTTTTTTCCCCATATTTAAATCTTTCTTTGTGGTAAAACGAAACAGTACCAAGTTTCCTTTGCTTTTGGAGATAGCACCCCTATTTTCTTCCTGATCCCTAAGGGTCTTTGGCAGAAGGTCATTTTTTTGGCGTGTGTGGTGAGTACGTGCCCCTCCCTCACTCCCTCTCTCTCAATGGCTCCATGGCACCTTCTCCTCCGCAGCTGTCTCCGCTGCTCCATGGGCTCTGCCTCTCCTGGCGAGAGTGCCTGCCGTGCACAGACGGCTCATTCATATTTTATCGTGGGCCCTCTGCTTGCCAAGAGGAGTTCAGTACAAAGAGAGATAGGCATGAGAGGGAAGAGAGGCAGAGGAAGGGACCGGAGGAAAAAGTGCGAGGACAAAGGTAAAGACAGGTATGGGAGGGAAGGAGCCAAGTGGAAATGCAGGGTTGAGGAAAGAGGGAAAGTGTGAAAAAAGGAGCGTGGAAGAAAGGTGAGTCTGTGAAAAGAAGAGAATTTACATGGGAGAGAGACTATGAGGTAAGGTGGGAGGGAGGTAGAGGAAAGGAAATAAAATGTGAAAAACTGGACAATTAAGAGTTACTAGTAAGAGAATAACATATAGGGAGAGAAGGAAGAAAAGAGAGAAGCGAGTTATCATATTATGTGAGCAGGAAAAGACGTAGAAGTACATTGTGCTATTTCAGTTTCTATACTGCTCAAGGGCCATATGAGCAGGAAAATCCTGGCTGAGTGGAGTAATAACTGCAGACTGGCACACACGGAAGTCTGAAAGGGAGATAGAGCAACTATAGAGACCATAGAGGTGGGAAACTAACAGATGTGGTGCCACTTGAGAGCCGGCGGGAGGTCTGTCAATCTCCTCCACTCTACTCTCCGACCGCCCTCTCTCCCTCCGCCCCCACGACAAGGCATAGACACCCAATAAAGAGTAAAGGAGCAGAACACACAGGGTAGATGGGAGGGATAAAACTCCCAGCCCATCTGCTGGATCTGAGAAATGAATACATAAACTCCCCTCTCCTCCTCCAGTGTAACACAGCAACTGGCCACTGTTCTCCAGAAGACGCCCCGAGTGGGCATGACCACTGCTGCTCAGCCCTGGCTGGGCCAGGTCAGGACTCTCAGTGGTTCGGGCCTGAGAGAGGAGGACCTGGGAGGTGGGAGACAGGAGGGTACCATTGCCCTGAGCTGTGGGTTTTCTGAGGCAGGGAATGCTTCCAAGCCAACAGGATGGAATTAGATTTCACAGCGCAGAAAGCAGCTCACAGGTCTATAAATCTCAGCCTCCTCCCCCGCTTCTTTCTGTGTGTGTGTGGGTTTTTTTCCCACTTTCACTGTTTTGTTTTCTTGGCTGCAGAGATTCCCCCCCCCCTCGTTTCTTCCTCTTTCTGCCTTGCTCCCTCCTTTCTTTCCCTGCCCTGTGTGTCCTTGAGTGAGGGCACAGGCAGTCGGGGGCAGGATGAAGGTGAGGGCACAGACTGGCCCGGGGCTGCAAGGTGGTTCAGGGGAGCTGTCAGTGCCAGCCTCTCTAGGGATTTCTGACTTTGTATCTCCCTCCTTTGCTCTCATTTTGCTTTTATTTCACCTCTTTATTGTTGTTACTGTTTTATTTTCTTGTTTCTTCTCTTGCTTGGTTTCCCTTTCTTGTCATCACTTCCTTCCCTAATCCCTTTTATTTTCTAAATTATTTTTAATTTTTTTAATTATTTTTAATTTTTAATTTTTTCTTTTTCTTTTTTTTTAGACCAGATTATAAAGATGCACCTAATCCCTTTTAAACAAAACTTACCTAGCTGCATTTCTTATACCTAAGACCAAACCATAAATGACTACTCACAAATATAGCATCAGGAACATGCCTTGTCCTTGTGAGCAGCCCTGTGGTAATGACCCAACATGAGAGGCCCAGTACACACCAGAAATACTTACTCGACACTCTCATAGGAGTCCCAGAGAAACAAGCTGTTGACCATTAGAGACTGTGCTAGATTCCACCCTTCTTTGTTTTTTTTTTTTTTTTTTTGAGACAGAGTCTCACTTTGTTGCCCAGGCTAGAGTGCCATGGTGTCAGCCTAGCTCACAGCAACCTCAAACTCCTGGGCTTAAGCGATCCTCCTGCCTCAGCCTCCCGAGTAGCTGGGACTACAGGCATGCGCCACCATGCCCGGCTAATTTGGCTAATTTTTTTCTCTATATATATTATTTGGCCAATTAATTTCTTTCTATTTATAGTAGAGACGGGGTCTCGCTCTTGCTCAGGCTGGTTTTGAACTCCTGACCTCGAGCGATCCGCCCGCCTCAGCCTCCCAGAGTGCTAGGATTACAGGCGTGAGCCACTGCGCCCGGCCGAGATTCCACCCTTCTTTCTACTCTCTGTTCATTGTGGCCAGAGAATGATGGTTGACCAGGTTCCCCTACACCTGGCTGGCTAACAAGCTATTCTTCTTTATACTCTTAGCTGGTAGATGACTATGTGGCCTCTGAGGGTGCAGTACAACGAGTGCTGGTCCCTGCTTATGCCAAGCAACTCTCACCAGCCACACAACTGGCTATCCAGCGGGCAACCTCAGAGACAGGGCCAGAAAATGGAACCAAGCTGCCACTACCTCGCCCTGAGGACATGCTCAGTGTTGCAGCTGCTTTGGACGGTGCCTTGGAAGAGTCAGCCCCTGGCAGCACTGGCGAGCTGAGACACTCTCTAGCGTTTACCGCTTCCCCATGCAGGACTAGAGGAAGTGGGCAGAAGAATTCCAGGCGCAAGCGGGATCTGGTACTCTCTGTGAGTGAGCTCAACTTCTATAAATTTTTCTTCAGTCTGGAGAGATAAGGGAAGAGTGAAGGGTGGGTTGATTTTACGCCTTCCATAATGAATGAATGGTATACTGAATCTGACTGGAGTGGGAGGGGCTAGAAGAGAGATTATCCTGTATCTCTCAGGATAGGCAGTTCCCCTGCTATAAATTGAGCTTCTAGGCTTTTCCAGATAAAATGATATCTTTTAAAGAAAAGGGAATCTCACAGTGTTCTAATAATCCTGATGGGAAGATCTTTAAGGAATTCAACAGACTGATCACCAAAAGGTAGCAGTGGAAACTGCCTGCAAATTTAGCCAGTGTGCGGGGTCAGTGGCAAGGGGCCCTCTGGGTGGAAAAGCTGAGCTGTCCTCAGGTGGTTACAAACCTCAAAGATGCAGAGGGCCACTAAACAGCTCCATTATAAACGTTTAGAGAGTCTAGTCATTTCAAGAGCACTTGGCAGGGAAGGGACTGGCCTGAACCAAGTCTGACCAAAACCTCCTTGGAGTGCCTGGCAGCTGACACAGACCTAGAGATCTAGGGCAGTAGTTCTCAATCTACGGGTGATTTTGCCCGCAGGGGACATTTGGAACTGTCTGGAGACATCTCTGGTTACCACTGGTGGGGTGCAGGAAAAGGTAATGAGAATGTTACTGGCATCTAGTGGGCGGAGGCCAGATCTTCTGCTAAACATCCTACAATGCACACAACAGCCCCCCATAACAAAGGATTATCCACCTCAAAACGTTAATAGTGTGGAGGTCGAGAAACTTTCTAGGGTGACTATAGTCTTTTGGATCAACTCTGTGCCCCAAAACTTCTTTCTGATAACCATGGGGATGTTCTTCAGCCATATTATGTTCACATTGACTGTAATGAGTTTCCATTCTCTGGATAACGGCTGATGTGAAGTAACTGGAGAGTCCTGGTTCGGAGTGGAAGTCACCACTCATATCCAACCTAACTCCCATCATTATGTAGCTTCCATTTCTTCTTGTTTCAAAGCCGATTACCATTTATGCCTCCTTTATTTATATTGCTTCCTTATTCCTTTTATCTCAGAGATCCTACTCTTCCTATCCCTTTCATTTGATTTATTTTTATACTGACGCATTCTCCCCCCGCCCCTCGGGAAGACACCCATTCATAATCAGTATCAACTTGTTTCTAACTTTCATTTTGAATTTTGGTTATGTTCAGGGACATCTCCTTACTTATCAAGAACAGGGGATGAGTTAAGTTTCCCTGTCATGGATTTATGGCCCAAAAAGGCCACTCCTGCTGCCAGTAATAGGATTGGAGGTAGGTGCCTAGAAGTGCATTTCAAGGGATTTCCCAAAACTTCATAGTGTTTAAATCATAAATATATGTGTAATAATTATAATTTGCATAAAATCAAGATTTTTCATCATTTCCATTCCACTCCTGCCTCCTGCCTCCAGAGAGAGATATAGTGCTGAGGCCTGGCTTCTTCCTTCCTTCTGGAGAGCTTGGTAGAACTGAGGGACTGCCTGGAGGATAATATGCTCACTCATCATGCTTTCTCTGTTATTGTGCTTGAGAAGGATCTAGAGGACCAGTCAGGGAATTGTGCTGCCCATCACAGAGGAAGGTTTAAAGTATTCTTGTGCCAGACTGTGGGTTTAGAGGGGGAGGGATAGTTGCAGATTTTCACTATTCCAATCTTTAGCTTTGGGAAGGAATCAAAGAGACACCTCTCCAATCTGCTGGGGCTCCTGTGGATTGCTGCTAGGGATTCTGTGAACCAAAAGCACCAAACCAGAACTCTTAATTCCATGGAATGCTGCAGATCCCAGCCACCCCTTGGGGACATGTATTTATTTTTAGCTCACTCAGGAGGTATGTGAGCCAGCAGCTTTTATAGTCTTAACACTTATTATTGTCTAGAGTATTTTCCCTTTCCACTTCAAGCCTGGTTTGATTTTTATCAGCTGATCTCTTCCAAGCCACTTGAGTTGGAAGGTATACAACTCCCTTTTTCTTTTTTTGAAACTCTCCCAAATACTTCCTGAAACATTCACCCATTCCTTTATCATTTCTTAAGTTTGGACTGCTAAGAGGTAAAATTAACTATGTCAAATATAAAGCTAGTATAACAACAGTCCTTTTTATAGAGTAGAGACCCTAACCTAGCGTTAACAGTATGTTTCTAAATTGGAATGGTCAGTCAGTTGTAGAGGCAGAAGGATAAACTGGGCATTTCTGAATATGGAGCTGAAGCCTTTGGACCAGGATAGGAATCTGTCAGTTTGGGACTGGGTAACTTTCATTGACTGAAGGAACTTGAAACGAAAATATAATTAGAAACAATAAAACTAAATTTAATAGAAGGAAGTGTAGAACCCAGGATTGGAGTTCAAAAAACCAGTTGCAGAATGATAGAGACAGTATCCATGTGAAAAATGGACTTGAGTTGACTCAAAGCCCACCATGCGTGAACCTGTGACACTGAGTGGGAGTGATGTTGTTGAGAAAGGTAATACCGTCTTAGGTTTCATTCCTAGAAGTATAGGGTTCCACTCAGGGAAGTAATGATCCCTTTGGCCTGACCTCAACTGATGAGTTGGATTCTGTTCCAGGTGCCACTTTGTAAGAGGGAGAGTGGAAAACAAGAGAGTTTCATAGTCTGATGAGGAGTCTGTCTAGAAACTGTGTCATGAAGAATGCTTGAAGAACTTGGGGGTATTTAGGCTAGATATGAGAAGACTTGAGAAGTACATGAAAGCTATATTCAAATATTTCAGGTGCTATTATGCGCAAAACTGGGGTTAGATCTTGAAGCATCTAAGGCAAACCTTTTTAACACTTAGAAATGTTCAACACCAGAATAAGCTGACTCAGAAAGGAGAACCCATTATTAGACGTGTATAAGCAAAACTGAAAGAAAGCTTGTTTAATGATGTAAAAGGGAGATTGTATGATATAGTCTCCCAAGTCCTTTCCAATTCACATCTCTGTTGTTTTAGATTTCTGTTTTTCAAACTATGGTATGTATACCGCTGAGATTTGTGGTAATGTGCAAAAGGATATATAAAGCCATAGACAAATCTGATGCATCTTCCTGGGTCATCAATTTCACTGGAAGATTTCAGATGACATCTTTTTTTTTTTTTTTTTTTTGAGACAGTCTCGCTTTGTTGCCCAGGCTAGAGTGAGTGCCATGGCGTCAGCCTAGCTCTCCTGGGCTCAAGTGATCCTCCTGCCTCAGCCTCCTGAGTAGCTGGGACTACAGGCATGCGCCACCATGCCTGGCTAATTTTTTCTATGTATATTAGTTGGCCAATTAATTTATTTCTATTTATAGTAGAGATGGGGTCTCACTCTTGCTCAGGCTGGTTTTGAACTCCTGACCTCGAGTAATCCGCCCACCTCGGCCTCCCAGAGTGCTAGGATTACAGGCATGAGCCACCACGCCTGGCCCAGATGACATCTTTATATTAAAATAAATACAGATATATTTTGAAGACAAATGTGAAATTTGCAAGAGTAGGAGACTTCAAGAAATGTCCACTTGCAGTAGTCTTGGTGTATCTTCGCTCTCTCCTTGCTGTTAGGGGTATGTTCACAGAAATGTTTGAGACCCTCTGCTCTAGTGACCACATTACTCAGAAGCAGAAGTAAGACCAGGGATGATCCTGGAATCCTGACACAAATTACAAGAAAAGAAAATCCTCCATTAGAACATCAGAAATACTAACTTGGCTAGGCTCTCTGGCTTAGAAAGGGCATCTACAAATATGGTACTTAGACTATGGGAAGTATTCAGGCAGAGAATCTCCTAGAGACAACACCTTTTTACTTCTAGGGACCAGAGGAAAGTTTTCATAGTATCCACTCCTGGCTTGATTCTGTTGTTTTTGTTTTGTTTTTCCCCCTAGAAATTGGTCCACAATGTGCATAACCACATCACCAATGACAAGAGATTCAATGGGTCTGAAAGGTATGGTCCCCTTGAGGAAAAAGAATCACAAAGTCCTTTGCAAAGGAGAGGGAAGTCAAGGGGGATATGCTCTAGTACAACAATGACACTAAGGCTTTGACCTCGCCATTGTCCCTTGGATCCTGTCTTAGGCCATGGAGGGATATGCCACAAAGTTGATTAGTGCTGGGTATCTCTGTTTGTCTGTTTTTTCAAAGCTGACTGCCTTACTCACTCTCTTCTCTTTGTGGTAGCATCAAGTCCTCTTGGAATATTTCAGTAGTGAAGTTCCTTCTGGAAAAGCTCAAGCAGGAGCTGGTGACCAGTCCCCACAATTACACGGATAAGGAGCTGAAAGGTGAGGAAAAACTCACCTTTTAACTCCCAGCCCATCCTTTTCCCCCTGCCCCTCACACTCCCACATTCTTGGTCAGAGGGGAAGACGCATAAAGGAAATGATTTGGGTGGTTTTGAAAATAGTGGATTTAAAATCTTTTTCTTTCTTTCTTTCTTTTTTTTTTTTTTGGCTATTCTTCTCACCTAAAATATATTCATAGGATTACCTCAAATTGCCTTTTTATTCTCCTACTCAGTCTGAAATGAAAATGAGAGAAGGGCTAGAACACCATCATGCATTCTGTTTATGCCAGGCCTGAAGCTGAGGTGTTATGAAGAAATCAAAGCTACGCCTGCCCTTTTGTCCCTAAATATTACATCCTGGGCTTTCTACTTTGTTTGTTCTCTTCTGTTAAAATGACTGAAGAGCTAACCCTGAAGTACTATGAAAGCTTCTGCTGAAAAAGTACTTGTAATCTGCTGTCAGAATAGCAACAGGGGTAGGTTTAATTGGTTGGGGCTGGGGAGAGGGAGTGCAGAAGCAATTGGAGTTTTCTTTTTCCAGTGGGAGATAATCTAGAGGAGCTAGTGTTGGAGGTGGAGGTGGACAAAAAGAGCTAAACCAAAAGGGAGTGAATAGATGCTGACGCATATGCCAAGAAAGCCCATTGTCTAAATAGTTATTCTTAATTTCCCGTTCAGTAGTGTTAGGGCAGAAAAACGGGCTGAAGACCACTGCTCTAGAAGACTCTGCTTCTTGCTTCTTTCCCTGCCCCCTCTCCAGGAGCCTGTGTGGCCTACTTCCTTACTAAGAGGCGCGAATACCGCAACTCCTTGAACCCCTTTAAAGGCCTGAAGGAAAAAGAGGAGAAGAAACTTCGAAGTCGCCGATACCGGGTAGGTTTCTAGGCCTTCCTTTCAAGATGCTAAACTCTAAATCCTAATAAGCCACAGTGGGAAGGGCCAGAGGATATGGCATCTGAGAATAGGATTGAGAGCCAGGAGTGTAGGCAGGGAAGAAGGATGAGCCAATTCTAAGATTTGACTTGGGGACTGGGTTCTCTTAGGCAATGATCTTATACAGCCTTCCTCACTCTAATCCTTTTTCCAAATCCAATCTGTTTCTCTTCCTAATCTTTGTCCTGGGCTCCTCCCTTAGCTTTTTGCCAACCGATCCAGTATCATGAGGCATTTTGGACCTGAGGACCAACGCCTGTGGAAGGATGTGACAGAAGAGCTAATGTCAGATGAAGAGGACAGCCTTAACGAGCCAGGCGTCTGGGTGGCCCGCCCTCCCCGTTTCCGGGCCCAGCGCCTCACAGAGCTCTGCTACCACCTGGATGCTAACTCTAAACATGGCACCAAAGCCAACCGTGTGTATGGGCCTCCCTCAGAGAGACTGCCTTCTGCTGAAGCCCAGCTCCTTCCACCAGAACTTTACAATCCTAATTTCCAAGAAGAGGAAGATGAGGGAGGCGATGAGAATGCTCCTGTCTCCCCATCTTTTGACCAACCCCACAAAACCTGCTGCCCTGACTTGAACTCATTCATTGAAATCAAGGTGGAAAAGGATGAATGAAATCTGTAGCTGCGAATAACTCTGGCTTCTGCCACTCCCCATGTCCCAGAAATGGGCATCTAGGGGGCTTCCCAGAGTAATGAGGTACCCTCTGCAGACCGAGAAAACAATTTGCCTCTCTTCTTAACACACAGTCTCCATTGGAAGTGGAAGCTGGAAGATATGGTGGGATAAAAGGATTTATCTAGAAGGGGAGAAACTCCCCCCACTGTGAATGGCAAGCCAGAAAATGCTTATTCCTCAGCATAAACAGTGCCTCGGAGGAGCCTGGGATGAGAAAAGGAGGAGGATGGGTCTAAGAAACATGAGGCCTTCTTGACATGCGCCCTGTTTCTGAGTTGTTTCTGCCCCTGCCCAGTTCCGCCCAAGCTCTGGGGAAGGAGCCCAGGTTGTACCTTTTGCTTCCCCATGACTGCTGGTCTTGCTCTGCAGTGGAAGCAGAACAGGACCAGTCCAGGGAAATGCTGCCACCTGGTGGGAAGTTTCAATTATGGGCTTGATTCTTCTGAGCAAGAGAACATGGGTTCAATGTTTGGGAATTGGGATCTAGATACAGTAGCTATTGTTTATTGAATTATATAAGGAAGATTTTACTACTCCTGTCTTACAGATGAACAAATTAAGGCTTAAGGAGTTCCCGTATCTCACCAGCAGCTTCTTTCACAATGTGTGACCACGCTGAATATATAGCTTTGTAGCTATTTCTTAGTCCTGTTAACCAGGCTGCATTTTAGGGAAGGGATATGTGTATGTGTGCACACGTGCATTTTGACTGGATTGAGAAGTAAAAATGATTCTATATTCATTCATGCAGCCATACAACAAATATTGATTGCTTACTAATGTCAAGGTACTGTGCTAGGTGCTACAGATACACTGATAAAGGGTAGATGCTGATCTGAGGTTCTATTGGCTAGTCAGGAAGCCAGGCAGTTGAGTAGGCAATGAAATGAACTGTGGTAAGGGTGACCATGGGGGCGTGCAGGGTGCTATGGCAGTATACAGCAGGGATAGCTAACCTACTCTTGCAATCTGGAAAGGCTTCTCAGGGGAAGTAATGTTTAAATTGATTACTAAAATGGGAGGGGTTAGCCAGGAAAAGGGAAAGGGAAGCTGAGAGTATTCCAAACACAGCAAACAGCAGGTGCAAAAGTCCAGAGGCTCGGGATTATGGACAAGGTCTAATTCTATTGCAGACCAGTTTGGGGAAGTGATAATGCTAAGAGGAGAGGTTGGAGAGGTACAAACCTTGTAAAACATCTTAAAGATTATAGACTTTAGCTTAAGGGCAGTGAGAGATCATTGAAAGGTTTTAAGCTTGGAAATGATCAGTTTTGTGTGTGATCAGACAGTCTCCTACTTATGATGGTTCAACTTAACGATTTTTCAACTCTACAATGGTGCAAAAGTGATATGCACTGGGTATGCTCCTCATCTTGCTATTAGGTTACAATCAGATAAACCCATTGTAAGTTGAAAATACTTTAAGTTGAAAATATTGTAAGTTGAAGATACACTCTTTTTTTTTTTTTTTTGAGACAGAGTCTTACTTTTTTTGTTGCCCTGGCTAGAGTGAGTGCCGTGGCATCAGCCTAGCTCACAGCAACCTCAAACTCCTGGGCTCAAGCGATCCTTCTGCCTCAGCCTCCCAAGTAGCTGGGACTACAGGCATGTGCCACCATGCCCGGCTAATTTTTTGTATATATATTTTTAGTTGGTCAATTAATTTCTTTCTATTTTTAGTAGAGACGGGGTCTCGCTCTCGCTCAGGCTGGTTTCGAACTCCTGACCTCGAGCAATCCGCCCGCCTCAGCCTCCCAGAGTGCTAGGATTACAGGCGTGAGCTACCGCGCCCAGCCTGAAGATACACTCTTACCTTACGATATTTTCAATTTACAAGGGATTTATCAGATAAACTTTATCTAGATGTAACACCATCATCACTTGACAAACATCTGTATTAGAAGAATCACATGACTTCAGGGTATAAGGTGGATTGAAGGGAGCAAGCCTTGGTTGGGAAACTCCTGCACTGGTTTAAGAGAGAAAAGATGGTGACCGGACATACATTGTGATGATAAGGGAAGGACTGATTTGAAAGATATTTGGGAAGCAGAATTGAGAGAACTTGGTGACTGATAGGAGTTGGTTGGATTTAAGGTTAAGGGGGAAGGAGGACAGAAGGTTGATGCTCAAGTTTCTGGCTTAAGCAGCTAAGTGGTTAATGATGCCATTTACTCAGGGAATGCTGGAGGAGCTAGTTTCAGGAGGCAGGGAAGATGAGATCAGTTTACTGTTGGGTGCCTCTGAGTCAACCCAGTGGAGATGCTGGTAGTCAGTTGAGTTTTTTGGTCCAAGAAAGTCTGGGTTAGAGATATGGATTAGGCAGTCATCTGTGTAGGCAGATTGTAATTAAAGTCTTGATGAAGAGGGCCTGTGGAGCTCCCAGCTCCAGGTCAGACTGTGGAGTGGCTACCCTGGGGTCATGAGCACTACTGTAGTATGCCGCGTCAGTGTACACTTCCTCCCCTCATTCCTCTCAGCTTCCTGTTACCTCCTGAAAACACAGGCTCTTCTTCCCAACTGTGCCCATTGTTGCCAACCACTAGCTCTTGGATGGGCCTCCTTTAATGGCTTCTCAACTTTTCATAAGATTTAACTCTCTTATCCTTATCCCAAAGGGTCAAAGCCAAATATTAGGGGCTATGTGGATATTGTGGATGTGAGTAATTGAAAGGAAGAATCTAGGTTCTCCTTTCCCATCTGGAAACAAGAAAGGAGGGAAAGCATTATGGTTAGTTCTGAAGATGTTGCTCACAGCAGATTCTAGATGCAACCTGACAGCTCCCTCTGTTACAAGTGCTTTCAGTCTTCCCAGTTTCCAGTCTGATAGTAAACTCTCCTCAAGCTCAGAGAAAAGCTGTAGGCTTGACCAGGGAAACAGGCCGATTCTCAGGAGAGAGAAGGTCAGGGAGTCAATGCAGCTAGGACAAAGACACCAAATAGTTTGTGCCAAATTAATTTCCCAAAAGATATTAACCTCCTTTCTTTCCCCATTCCCTAAGGCTACACTAAGACTATAAAAGGTGTTCAAAATGTTGATATTTTGAAAACAATATTCATGATTTGTTTGCATATAATTTTCATATTCATTTACTATCTAAATACAAAGGAGTCATTTTCCTTCTCCATTCTATTTCCTTCGCCCCTTGCCCCTGATGGGCTAGTCTGGGCAAAAAATCAGTTGGCTGGTATTTAATTTAGGCATGTTTAGCTTCAGCCAGGGTTTCTTCTCTTCTTTATTTTTATTTTATTTATTTATTTATTTTTTTTGAGACAGAGTCTCGCTTTCTTGCCCAGGCTAGAGTGAGTGCCGTGGTGTCATCCTAGTTCACAGCAACCTCAAACTCCTGGGCTCAAGCGATCCTCCTGCCTCAGCCTTCCGAGTAGCTGGGACTACAGGCACGAGCCACCATGCCCGGCTAATTTTTATTATATATATTTTTAGTTGGCCAATTAATTTCTTTCTATTTATAGTAGAGACAGGGTCGGTCTCGCTCAGGCTGGTTTTGAACTCCTGACCTTGAGCAATCTGCCCGCCTCGGCCTCCCAGAGTGCTAGGATTACAGGCGTGAGCCACCGCGCCCGGCCTCTTCTTTATTCTTGATCATTCTAGAATGGTCAATATCAGCCTCTTTTCCTTTTCCATCCTGACCATTTTCACATGCTATTCACTCTAAATGGCTTTTATTTTCTTCCTCTTAAGTTAGTACTTACTCTTTATCATCAATCTTCTGTGGGCCAACCAAGGGGGGAGGGTATTCGCCAGTCCTGAAACCAGGCCTTAGGTGATCTCCAGTCACCTGAAATATTTGCTACAAATCTCATTTCTCAACACCAGGGGGTGTCTGTCTATCCCTCTAACTGTCTTACCCTTAAGATAGAGGTTAGTTCCAAACCTTTTTCTCATTCCCTTTCACTGCTTTTACATACATGCTAAATCTCCCTTCCTCCCTCTAAAAGTAGAGATTAGTCCCAAACCTTTTCCTCACTCCTTTTCACTGCTTTTATGAACACACAGAATCCCTCTTCCTCCCACCCTCCCTCGGTACCACCACAAAAGTTTGGGTCCAAAAAGTGGTGTCTTTTTATTGCAGTTTATATGTCTCTCATTCTCTCTGGACAAACCTGCCCTTTCCTTTGTCTATGTATCCTTTGGTCTCTGCACCACCCACACTCTCCTTTCCTCTGGCTCTCCCTTTTCACTACTTCCACCTTTCTGTGTGCGCTTCCTCGCCTTTCAGAGCTGTCTTTACACACATACACGTCTGAACTTCTTTATGAATCTGCCTTTCTTCCTTCCGTTTGTCTTCTTCTGTACGGCTCTCTCCCTGTCTCACCACTTCTGTACCAGTCTCTCTCTGTCTCTCCCCCAGTCCCCACACTAGGAACAAAGTCACGGTGTTTGCGCAGAACATGCCTCCCCTCGCCCGGACTCGGACCGCGACATTCCACCGTGCTCCTCCGCGCATTCCAACTGCAAACAAAGAGTCCCCGTCCCCTTCCCTCCCCACGCTTTCCTGTTCCAATTCTTGAGTGTCGTAATGGCAGCTGTCCAAACTGCCCCTTGCCCTCCTCTCCCGTCTGGTTCGCAGATCTCCACCTCCAGGGCAGTAAGCAATAGCGACCCCCCAAAACACGCACACACCAGAGATCCCTGCGCGGACACCCCAGTCGCTCTCGTACACACCGCGCTCCGCCCCTCCGGGAAAGTAGATCCGGCCAGGCAGACAAAAGTTTGGGAGAGAAGTTCGGTCTGAGGCGAGCGAGGGAGCGAGGGGGGCGGGGGCCGGGGATAGTGGGGCGGTCTGGCGAGTCAACTCGTGAACAGATAGACCTGCGGACGGGACAGCTGCGGCTGCAGGCCCTTCTAGCCCCGCTTCACCCCAGATGCGCGGGGGGACGCAGCCCCTCCCGCCGGGGGATGCTGCGGGCTTCTTGGCGCCGGGCATCCGGGCCGCCCGCTAAGCCCCTGTGCCTACCCCGTGCCCCTGGGGAACCGGCGTCCAGCCGCAGGGAAGGAGACGCGGCCGCTGAGAAGCTGCCGGGTGCCGGGGGAGGGGGCTGGAGGCCGCAGGCCCGAGGGCATGGAGCGGTTAGGGGAGAAAGCCAGTCGTCTGCTGGAGAAGCTCGGCCGCAGAAAGGGTGAATCTAGCCGGTCTGGGTCTGATGGGACCCCCGGTCCGGGCAAGGGGCGCCTGAGTGGGTTGGGGGGACCTAGGAAATCAGGGCCCCGAGGAGCTACTGGGGGACCCGGGGATGAGCCACTGGAGCCGGCCCGGGAGCAGGGCCCCCTGGACACTGAGCGGAATCCGCGCGGCTCCTTTGAGGCGCAGCGCTACGAAGGCTCCTTTCCCGGGGGGCCGCCGCCCACCCGGGCCTTGCCTCTACCTCAGTCATTGCCCCCCGATTTTCGGCTGGAGACAACCGCACCAGCCCTAAGTCCCCGCTCCAGCTTCGCCAGTAGCTCAGCCAGCGACGCGAGCAAGCCGTCCAGCCCCCGGGGCAGCCTGCTGCTGGACGGGGCAGGGGCTGGCGGGGCTGGAGGCAGCCGGCCCTGCAGCAACCGTACCAGCGGCATCAGCATGGGCTACGACCAGCGCCACGGGAGCCCCTTGCCCGCGGGGCCGTGTCTGTTTGGCCCACCCCTGGCTGGGGTACCGGCAGGCTATTCCCCCGGAGGGGTCCCGTCCGCCTACCCGGAGCTCCATGCCGCCCTGGACCGACTGTGCGCTCATCGGCCCGCGGGGTTCGGCTGTCAGGAAAGCCGCCACTCGTATCCCCCAGCCCTGGGCAGCCCTGGAGCTCTGGCCGGGGCCGCGGTGGGAGCGGCCGGGCCTTTGGAGAGACGGGGGGCGCAACCCGGACGACACTCGGTGACCGGCTACGGGGACTGCGCCGCGGGCGCCCGATACCAGGATGAGCTAACTGCGTTACTGCGCCTGACGGTGGGCACCGGTGGGCGAGAAGCCGGCGCCCGCGGGGAACCCTCGGGGATTGAGCCGTCAGGTCTCGAGGAGCCGCCAGGTCCTTTCGTTCCAGAGGCTCCGCGGGCCCGGATTCGGGAGCCAGAGGCCAGAGAGGACTACTTCGGTGAGTGAGAACTGGTCAGGCGCGGGAAGGGACCCGTCACCACATTCGGTTCTTGACTGCCCAGACGGCCCCAAAGTGCCGGCGTTCTTGGGTCTGAGCAGAGACGCAAGACTAGAAAAGAAACCGGAGGGATGGATGGGGGCGGACCCCGGAGCGGAGCGCTTTCCCCTTACTACTGGGCTTCAAATGAACCAGAGCTCCTCATTCCTGATAAATTCAACCCCCTGGTTGTCTCATCAGTCCCAGTTTCTTGAGCATTTGAGGCTCGCTTTTCTGCAGTACGAGGCCTCGTAGGGAAGGGTCCTAGTGGGACAGTGAGAGCATCCCCCCAGCTTGTCCCCCCTTCACGGCGGTGCCCCTACAGGATTCTGAGCGCCGCTCCCCCACCCGGGCCCAGGCTCCGCCCGCAGGAATTCGGGGAATGCGCGGGTGGGGGGGCGGGGCAGGCGGGCAGCGTGCGTGCCGACTCCTGCCCGGGCGCTCCAGGTGCCCGCGGGCGGGGCGGCCGCAGCCGGGCTGCCGAGGGGTGGGGTACGGGGTGGGGGTGGAGGGGCGCTTTCTAGCACGCTGGAGCATACCTGTCGGAGGTATGGAACTTGGAAAGAGGATGAAACGTCCTGGGATGGAAAGCAGGGACCCAACTGCTGCCCCAGTCCTGCCGGCTAGGTGCGTGCCTGGGCATTTAGGCAGAGACCAGGTAGTACCAGCCTGTTTTCCCTACCCTCCGGAGGAAGTCAGGACAAAAGCCATGACCACTGGTACATCATCATCTCTCCATGGATAACGACCCTGTGCAACTACCAGAAATAACCTGGCCTTGTAACCTGCTCAGAATTCAGGCTAGAAGTAGGCCCTTACATTCTGCTACTGTTGAGGAAACCTGGTCGCTGTTTCCCTCCCCTACTCTGTTCAAGAAGTATTGATCGATTATACATTTCAGCTACAGGGGATATTGGGGTCTTGAATGATCTTTTAGCCAAAACTCACAGGCACTAGTTTGCTATATAAAGAAATACTGATCTGACTATGATTGGAAAGAAATGGAGGGCTCACCCCCGACTCAGCTCAGCCCCCAAGTGGCTTTGGGCCACTTCAGTTTTCCAAACATCTCCTTCTCACCTTTCTCCCTGCCCTGGACCCCATGCTGTAAAACTCTATGGCTAGAAATGGGACTAGGGAGATGAACACAGCCAGGTGGGGATGGTTGGGGAGGAGGTTCAGGGGTAGCAGGGCTGCAGGTTGGAAGGGTCCTGCATAGTTCAACCCCAACCCCTCCCCATTCTTTTTTCCCACCCTGAGAGAGGAAAGCCCAGAGCAGATGATGCTAAACTACTTTGATCAAGTGAAACTGAGTGATGGGGCCCATTTAGCAGTTTCCTTTTGAGGCCCAGGAGAGGTGGCTGGGAAAGAAGTCTCTTAGGCTGAACCATCAGAGCCAAAAGGAAGAAAGGAACTCAGAGAGAGTGCAATAAAATGGCAGGAAGAACCTAGGTGTGGATATGCTGGGTTATAGGAGGTAAGGCAGACATGCCTGAACAATTTCCTCTTATCTTCCCATAATGTCCAAGGCTTCCCTAAGAATGGCTCTGACAGGACCCTCTGGCATGGCAATGTTGAGGCATATCTCCATCCACTTCCATGAGGAGGCCACAGTTTGAATTCAGAGGTGGGGGCCTCTTCTCTCTGGGATCAGGTTGCTTACCTCAACAGTACCCCTACAAACCCCTTCTACCCCCAGCCCAAGCCTGACTGTACCCTCCTACTTTTGCCCCTACTAGGGGCCCTCTTCTTTGGCTGAAGCCTTGCCCAGCTGCCAGAGGGTGGGAGCAGGACAGGCCTGGGCCCATCAGTTGCTGCAGCTGCTGCACAGGCTCCCAAGCCCCTGGGCAAAGACTGGGATGGGCCCCAACAGGCAGGGAGTGTGGCAGTGTGCCGAGGGGAAGAGGTGGGGCGGGCCCGTTGGGATCTGCTCCCCAAAGACAGGCCCTAGCCCTCACTCATAGGCCTGGAATTGGGGAGTGGAGGGAGGGAAGAACACACCCAGGAAAGGCTGGTGCCAGAGCCAGGTGTATGTATCTTAGGGGGAGGGGTTGGGGGGTTGTGTTGTGTTGGGGAAGAGCAGTTCAGTTCTGTGTCCCTCCCATTATAGAAGGTGACATGGAGGCTTAGGGATTCTACTACCCTTCCTTCCTATGCAGCCCTGGTTCCTGGAACCACCCTGCATTTTCAGCAGCCACCTCCACCTCCCCACAGGAGTCATGCTCTCATGGTCCCCTCTGCAGAACCAGATTCTTCTCTCCATCCTTGGAAGCCTGCTGCAGCGAGAAATGTTGTAGCTGAACAGCAGCTTGTTTTACTGATGGGAAAACTGAAGTCCCAGAGAGGCTTTCTGGGCCTGGCTTTCTTACTCTAGGAAGTTTTTTTTTATCTGCTGCTGAGCCCCTGTGAACCGTTTGTCTCACGTGCTACAACAGGGATTATACCTTGCCCTTGTAGTCTTTTCTCCCCAACAAAAACTAGACATCTGAAGGCCAGGGACCATGTTTTTTACTTTCTCCAGTTTTCTTCAGTAGTGGGTACTATGCTAGGCACAAAGTAGATGCTCAGAAAATGAATCATCAAATGAACAAGAATGGCTCTCTCCAGCCAAGATCTTGCTGTATCCCATTACTTGTTATTTTCTCTTCCCAGAAGGGATCCCATCAGAGGGAGACTGTGTCCTCTGGTACATCAGGAAAAAGCAATCAGGAAAGCTTGGGAGTCCCTGGTTTGAGCTAGGGGAGTGGGGTGTGACACTGACAACCTCTTTTCTCCTCATAGGCACCTGTATCAAGTGCAACAAAGGCATCTATGGGCAGAGCAACGCCTGCCAGGCCCTGGACAGCCTCTACCACACCCAGTGCTTTGTGTGCTGCTCCTGTGGTGAGTGCAGCCCCGCCACTCTAGCACCCCCTGCCCATACACACAGGTGCTATGAGGAGCAGGAAGAGATGTTTGCTCACAGAGGAGCTGTTGGGTCCCCACCTAATGTCTAGAGGCCCACCTTCTCTCTGGCTTCCTTTCCCTTCTCTACCTGGCTCTCCCTCCCCCATGGGAGGAGGTCTGCTTTCTGGAGTCCATCCTCCCTTCCTCTGCTCAGGTTCCTTCCTCTCCTCTGTTCCTCCCTCTTTCTTATGCCTCCCTGCTTGCCCAGCCTGGACTCCTGCCGGCCCTCCAGCCTCTCCTTGGTGGGGCTTGGTCTTGGGCAGCCCAGTTGCCTGGGGCGACAGTGAAAGACTGGAATGTGGGAAGGGCTGGGGTGGGCTGGGGGAGTGGGGAGCTGTGGGGGGTGGAGAGGGGGGTTTTCTCTTGGCTGGTCAGAGTTCAGCCACCTCCCTAGAGTGCAGGCCACCGGGCCATGCCAAGCTGATGACATCACGCTTCAGGAATGCCTGCTGCTGTTAGCTCCGGAGGCCCGCTTGGGGTGGGGGGTGCTCACAGTGCTTGGGGGGGGTTCTCACAGTGGCCTTAACTCCCCCCTTACCTCTCTCATTACCCCTCCCCACTGCTTACCCATTCTGATTCCTTTGCTAAACCTTTAATCTCCTATCTCTGCCTGACTCCAGCACTCAGCTTTTCTCTCACTCACCCAGCTTCTGCCTGGTTCTCTTTAGACTCATCTGTCTGTCTATCTGTCCGGTTTATAGGGCCTTTTCTGGCTATATCTCCCTTTCCCTCTTTCCTCCCCTGTATCTCATGAGTTTCTAAGTCAGCTTTTCTAAACTGTTGAGGAGGCAGGGGCTGGAAGAACAGTGAGCAGAGGAGAGGGAAGTTGGCTGGAAAGAGGCCAAAGCAAATTGGAATTGCATCAGGTGGGATTTTTGTGTGGGAAGGAAGGATAGACAGCAGTTAGGAGCAAAAGTACTAAAGTCCAGGTTTAAATATATCATGCAATGTTGGAGAGCAGTGACCCCAGAGTGAGAGAAGTCCTGTGCCCGGGCTGTGGGATAGGTTCCAGCCCCTTCTCTGCTGTTCTAGGGCGAACTTTGCGTTGCAAAGCTTTCTACAGCGTCAATGGCTCTGTGTACTGTGAGGAAGATTATCTGGTGAGTAAGGGGTCCCCTGGACCTGGAGTTGGCACCCACACTGGGATCTCCTTTTCTTGGTGGCCCACTGGGGTTATACCCATCATTCTCGGCTTAGTAACATCCTCCCTTTGTCTTTTCTTCCTAGTTTTCAGGGTTTCAGGAGGCAGCTGAGAAATGCTGTGTCTGTGGTCACTTGATTTTGGAGAAGGTAAGGAAAGTGCCTTTGGCTGAGACTCTGTGAGTTGCAGGCTGAGGAGTGGAATCAGGGACACTGGTAGAAGGTTGGGGGAAGGAACCTATCACCAGATGAATCACTTTCATCCTATTCTTCCCCAGAGGAACTGTTGACAGTGACTTCCCTCTGCTTGTGGGATCAAGTCTGGGCTCCTAAGCCTGCCATCCCAGGCTTTTGTGACCTGGCCCCTCCCTAATTCTGTAGGCACAGCCAGGCCCTCTAGCTTGAGCTAAGAGTTTGGGGTCCTGGGTCTTAATCCCCTTTCTGCTACCACTTGGGAACATCTGGAGCTCAGTTTTCTTTCCTGTAAAAAGGAGAGATTTGATTAAATCAGTGATTCTCAATACTAGCAGCCTAGCAGATCACCTGGGAAGAACTAAAAAAAAAAAAAAATACAATGCCTGGGTCCCATCACCAGAGACTGTGTTAATAGGTTTTGGGTGGGACCCAGGCATTGATGTTTTTTAAAAGCTCCCTAGATGATCCTAATATGCAGCCAGGGTTGAAAACCACTGGCCTGAATGCTCTCTGAGGCCCTTTTCATGGTTTCTGCCTCCATTTTAAGACTTTTTGGTTTTCTCAAATTACATAGCATTATTCTAGCAGTTTACCAGGGAGTTGGAAGAGGTTAGTGGGAGTAGCAGGGAACATAATGGGTAGCTGGAGAGCTGCAACTGGAGGGAGACTGATTCTCTTCCCACCCTATGAGCCAGATCCTACAGGCGATGGGGAAGTCCTATCACCCAGGCTGCTTCCGATGCATTGTTTGCAACAAGTGCCTGGATGGCATCCCCTTCACAGTGGACTTCTCCAACCAAGTGTACTGTGTCACCGACTACCACAAGTGAGTCCACCCCTTGAAGTGTGGTGTGGAACTGGGCCCAAGGAGTCCCCAGCCTCAGCTCATCTCTGCCCTCTGTCTTTCAGAAATTATGCCCCTAAGTGTGCGGCCTGTGGCCAACCCATCCTCCCCTCAGAGGTCAGTATGTCTGGGCAGTATGCAGGGCAGCCAGTGCCAGTGCCCCTGGGGAAGGGATGGGGACATGCTGCCTGGCCTCCCGTGGGAAGTGGTGGTGCTGAGGAATGTACTCTGCAAAGATTCCCGTGTGACTCTGCTCTTGGGGTCACTACCCTGACCCTAACATCCGGGCCTGGACATGTCTGACAGCCTCACTGGGCCCAGGCTCTCTCTCTGCTATTCCAGTCCAGAGGAGGAGACTTTCTCTGAGGTCAAGGTCACCAGATCCCAGAAGTAGGGTCTGGAAAAAGGTGGGGAGAATCCTCAGGTCTTATAGGAAAGGGTCAGAAAAGATTTAAGCTGTGTGTGCAGAGGGTGTGCCTAGGGAGAGAGGCCAAAAGCCAGTGAGGAAGCAGACGCTGTTAGATCTCCTTGTCCCCAGCCTAGCCTACTTTAGTTTTGCCACCTGCCCCTTTCCCTTCCATCTGCTTCCCCACAGCTGACAGAGCTAGGTCAAGGCCAGGGCCTGTAGAGAGGGAGTGCTCCATGTGGGGGCATGCCCTCCTGGGGCAGCCCTCGGAAGAAGACAGGGAGAGTTCTGGTGGGATTTGTAAAGGCATCTCAAAGCTACAGATGATTGCAGAGAAGCTCTGGGACCTTTGTGATCTTTCCCATTGGGGTGAGAGGAGTCATGTATGGGGGGAGGGTGGAATTTGGGGGCATCATGCTCTTATACTCATGGGGATCTGCATGTTTCAGGGCTGTGAGGACATTGTGAGGGTGATATCCATGGACAGGGATTATCACTTTGAGTGCTACCACTGTGAGGTGAGTATTGGGGTGCAGGACTGCTAGAGAAGTGGAACCAGGGAAAGGGGAGGAATTAAGTCCTACAGCAGCCAGGTGTCTATGGGAGAGGTGTAGGGCATGGGAAACCAAAAAGGTGCTGTGACCTCTCTCCAGTCTCCTTCTTGTTCTCCAGCGACTCTCTTTGGTCTTAGTAGTTTATTCCTTTCTGAATCTGATTTCCCCAGAGTCAAGACTCTAAGACTAGGGATTCCTGGTAACTGCTGGAAATGTGGCTTGTCTCATTATTTCTGCTGCAGCAGCGACACCTGGTGTCCACCTGAGGTATTTTTCTCAGGTTTCTCTTCCATATGGACCTTCCATCCTTCCCTTCCCACAACCCTTTCTTCCAGTTATTAGGAGTCTGGTGTTGAGCAGGGCAGACTCCCAAGATGTCCTCAGTGTCCAAGCTGCCTGGGCTGAGGTGAACCAGGTGCCTTCTTCCCTAGGACTGCCGGATGCAGCTGAGCGATGAGGAAGGCTGCTGCTGTTTCCCTCTGGATGGTCACTTGCTCTGCCACGGCTGCCACATGCAGCGGCTCAATGCCCGACAGCCTCCTGCCAACTATATCTGAGTTGCATCCACAGCTGCTGCCATCACAACATTGACAAACTCCTCTGGCAAGTGGGCCCTGAGGCCAGCAGAGGCAAGGAATGCACTCTACAGGCCTGGCAGAAGAGTTCTTTGGGGAGAGCCCCAAGGGCCAGAGACCCAAAGATCATGACATTCCAAATGGATTGTGGAGGAGGAAGCATCTAATTGCCAGGGTGGGGTGACTGGAGTTCTTTCTGTGTGTGCACCCTGTGCTCAGGCACATGCAGGCCTGTTGTAATACTTTCTGAACATCTGATTCTGGTCTATATCTTCAGTTTATGTTTGTGCTTAAGTTAAGCAATGATTTGGATTACAGGAGAAGACCTATCTTTAGGTGAGCTAGTTTCAACCAAACTGACAAGAACTAAAAGTGTTTTGCTCTCCAGCTCCCCCAAACCCTAGAGTTTTGGGGTTTTGGTTGATGGAATCTGAGATCCCTTTGAGAGGTAGCAGGTCTGGAGTTGTGCTGGGGAACCAATTGTAAGAGTGATTCAAGGAAGACGGAAGAAGTGAAAGGCCCGGGTGTATGGCTCACGCCTGTAATACCTAGTACGGGAGGCGAAGCAGGCAGATTGCTCGAGGTCAGGAGTTCGAAACCAGTCTGAGCAAGAGCGATACCCTGTCTCTACTATAAATACAAATTAATTGGCCAACTAAAAAATATATATATATAAAAAATTAGCCGGGCATGGTGGCACATGCCTGTAGTCCCAGCTACTCGGGAGGCTGAGGCAGCAGGATCGCTTGAGCCCAGGAAATTGAGGTTTTGTGAGCTAGGCTGATGCCACGGCACTCACTCTAGCCTGGGCAACAAAGTGAGACTCCGTCTCAAAAGAAAAAGAAAAAGAGGAAGAAGAAAGTAAAGAGAGAGAGTGAGAGACGCATGCACGCGCGCTGCTCGGTGTGTGTGTGTTGTGTGTGTATGATGAATGCACCTGTGTGCATGCACGGGACTATAGGGCTCAATGCACCCTAAATTTGGGAGTGTGCTAGCCTGAGTTTCCTAGACATCCACCCAGTAATTTGCATATCCACAGAGACCCACTCGTTACCCTCTCCCAGCTGAGAAGAGCAACCAAATACAGGCACCTGCCGAGCCTCCCAGGCCCATGTGAATCCCTGACAAACAGGCAGTCCAGGCAGCAGGGTCACCCAGAGCTGGTCCCATTCCCAGCAGAGGATGAGGAATTCTCCTAGTCCTTAGAAGAAAGCCAAGAAATAGCTTATGAAGAATGTCCAGAGTTTCTACCTCTTTAGATACAGAGATAGAATATGGTAAGCACCTGGCTGACCCCATATCTGACACCATGTGTAGGGCACAAAAGCATGAGAGCTTACACTTGGTTCCTGGCTGAATCTCACACCAGACCGGCTACCTCTCAGAGGGATCCAGATTACATCAACACAACTCCAAAATTCTGGGTTTTGTGAGCTGGAGGGAGCAAAACACTTTGATTTAGTTCTAGTCAGTTTGGCTGAAACTAGTTCATCTAAAGCTAGATCTCTTAAAACCAATTCACAGAAAACTTGTTTACTTTAAGTTCAGTTCACTAATGACCAATTTGCCAAAAGCTCGATTCTTTTCGGGTTTTATATCCATGTAGGTGTCCTATTCTTTTTTGTGTGCTTCGAGTATTCAAGATTTCTATCTGTTCATCCAAGAGTACTTCTGAGTTATTATCAGCAACATAAATTTATCAAATTTGCAGCACTTTGCAAATGATGAGATTGCTTCCTGCCTTTATGGATGTCTTTTTCTATGTTCTCTACTTTTCAAACACTTTTTAAAAAAAGTTTAAAGTTTCTAGCAATAAATACAATTGGTTCAGACATTTTGTGTATCGTTTTCTTTTGTGCTTCTTAATCCAATATCCTTTACAAATTAGATGCCTTGAAAAATATAATGGAGCTCAATATGCTTTGATAGTTTGATCTAACTTCTACATTCCTACTGTTACAATGCCAGAATATCTTAAACAGATGAATAGGCATGAGGCATATTTAGTTGACTAACAAAGGTTATACAGATAACAGCAATAAAAGTAAAGGATGAATCTGGGCCGGGTGCGGTGGCCCACGCCTGTAATCCTAGCACTCTGGGAGGCTGAGGCAGGCGGATTGTTCGAGGTCAGGAGTTCGAAACCAGCCTGAGCAAGAGTGAGACCCCATCTTTACTATAAATAGAAAGAAATTAATTGGCCAACTAATATATATAGAAAAAATTAGCCGGGCATGGTGGTGCACGCCTGTAGTCCCAGCTACTTGGGAGTCTGAGGCAGGAAGATTGCTTGACCTAGGAGTTTGAGGTTGCTGTGAGCTAGCTGACACCACGACACTCTAGCCTAGGCAACAGAGTGAGACTTTGACTCAAAAAAAAGAAAAAAATATATATATATAGGACAGGCACAGTGGCTCACACCCGTAATCTTAGCACTTTGCGAGGCTCAGGCATGAGGATCAGTTGAGGCCAGGAGTTTGAGACCAGCCTGAGCAATATAGCAAGACCTTGTTTCTACAAAAAAAAACACAGAAAAATTAGCCAAGTGTGGTGATGCACACCTGTAGTCCCAGCTACTTGGGAGGCTGAGGAAGGAGGATTGCTTGAGCCTAGGAGTTAGAGGTTGCAGTGAGCTATGATGATGCCCCTTTCCTCTAGCCTGGGTAACAGAGTGAGATCCTGTCTTCATAAAAAAAAGAAAGGAAAAAAAGAGAAAAAAATGTGCTAGAGCCTTTATAAATATATATGTCTTTTTTTTTTTTTGACACAGAGTTTCACTCCGTCACCTGGGCTAGAGTTCTGTGGCATCAGCCTAGCTTATAGCAACCTCAAACTCCTGGGGTAAAGTGATTCTCTTGTCTCAGCCTCCTGAGTAGCTGGGATTACTGAGATTACACTCATGAGCCACCATACCTGGCTAATTTTTCTGTTTTTAGTAGAGATGGGGTCTTGCTTTTGCTCAGGCTGGTCTTGAAATCCTGAGCTCAAGGGATCCTCCCACATCGGCCTCCCAGAGTGCTAAGATTACAGGTGTGAGCCACTGTATCTGGCCTAGATTAGAATCTTAAGGGATATAATAAAAATATCATATATGGTCCTGGATTCCTTATTGGTTTAAACAAATTGCTATAAAAGGTATTTGGGGGTCAATTGGAAAAATTTGAATATGGACTAGATGATTAGATGAGGTAACAACTTTTAGAGATAAAAAGGTCAAAATCAGTTATACAAAGCAGTTTCTAAAACCATATATGCAGCATAATCATATTTGGTTTTAAAATATCTATTTACTTATGAAAATAAGATCTAAAAGGATATGCACGAAGGTGTTAACAGTGATCTCAGAGTGGAGAGAAGGTTTTGTTGTTGGCCTAAATTTTCTTTTTTTATCTTTTATGGTTTTTTTTGAGACAGGGGGGGTCTATTGCCCAGGTTAGAGTACAGTGGCATCATTATAGCTCACTACCACCTCCAACTCCTGAACTCAAATGATCCTCCTGCCTTAGCCTCCCTAGTAGCTGGCGCTACAGGCACATACTACCACATCTGGCTAATTTTTCTATTTTATGTAGAAGTGAAGTTTTACTGTGTTGCCCAGGCTGGTCTCAAACTCCTGGCCTTCCAAGTGCTGGGATTATAGGCATGAGCCACCATGCACAGCCTTGGCCTACATTTTCTATTTTTATATAATGCATGTATACTGGCCTCTGTAATAATAATAGGCTGTTACAAATAAAATAACTTGGTTGCCAACATTTGCAATTTAGGAGATTGCACAAAAACATCTAAATAGTATATATGAAGATCTGGGTTTCTAAGGTTTTTTTTTTAATAATCAGAAGATCTGTTACCCCTGGGCTTTCATTCCTATGTGGCAGGAATCACTCTGTCATCACTCTGGACCTATTATCACTCTAGACCATGGGGCATTGATTCCTGTGGTCCAACGGAACTGAATGATGGCTGCTGCTTCATTTGGTGTTTTCCCTTCTTAGTTTGTCACAGTCTTCACCACTGTAAAGTCTGTGCCCTTCACACATTGTTTATCTGCCTGGTTCTTGTAGACTTTGGGGTCAGTAACCCGTGATTTGGATGATTCTGATGGGCTCCTTATCCATAGCCTTCTGTTATTAATCATTTGAAGGAACAAATAAACTAGTTTTGAAATTCTGCCAAAGAAAAGCATCTACTGCAGAATTATCTGTGCCTGGTTATTTTATGAATCAACCCAGTCATGGGAAACCCAGAGATAATAATTTACTTAGCTACCATGGCTACCTACTGTAAATTAGCTGAGCAAAATTTCTCTTTGGGCTGGGTGCAATGGCTCATGCATGTAATCCTAGCACTCTGGGAGGCCAAGGCAGGAGGATCACTTGAGCTCAGGAGTTTGAGACCAGCCTGGGCAATAGGGAGACCCCGTCTCTACAAGAAATAAAAAAATTAGCCAGGGATGGTGGTACACACCTATAATCCCAGCTACTTGGGAGGCTGAGGCAGGAGGATTGCTTGATCCCAGAAGTTGGAGGCTGTAATGAGCTATGATGATGCCACTGCACTCTAGCCTGGGCAACAGGGTGAGACTGTTAAAAAAAAAAAATCTTCAGTAAGTGGAATATAGAAAATATACTAAATTGCTGACTTTCTCACGGTTTTACTTTTTGCCATAGACCTTAATCACAGGAGGCATTTCAAAATTCGTAATACACGTTCTTCCCAAGCATGAAACTCCAAATGCCCTTTGCCTGGTCTATTTCTCCCACTCGTTCTGATACAAATTTTAAAGGAGAGAATCTCTTTTCATATGCAACTCAGTGTAAGACAGTGTCACAATCAGTTCAAAATCCAGTTTAAAAGCCTGGCACATGCTTTCGAGTTACAGCAGCATATCCAATTGTTCTAACAAGAATTGTGCACATTATGCTTCATGTCTAACTTTTCAAAATCATACTAGTCTTCCTCTCCTGAATCAATTTCCTTTATGGTCTCATATTCCTTTGGTTAAAATGGTTTCAATCTGTCCCATTTTTGAGCCCAAATTTTCAGCTTTTCTTTGAGATCTAAAATTCTCTATCAAGCATAGTTTATATACTAGTTCACAATAGTATCTCAAAGTAAACTGGCCTTGTTCCAGTTTGTATAACAAAAGTTTCTGTGAACAGGCAACCCTTGAAACCTCAAGGGGCTAAGTCTAAAATCCCATTGGAGGTGTGAAGCAATTGCAAAAATGGTGCTTTATGAACATTTGTTCTGAAATTTTCATTCGATGTCATAGGTTGATTACACATTTTCTTTATCCACTTGTTTTCTTCTTAAATCATGTGCTTACAATGGGCATGAAATTTTCTAGCTTAATCATCAATAGTTGTGGCTCTGAATGCCGTCATTTTCCAGTGAACACCCTTGAAAATAATTCTAAATCTCTTGACTGCATGTAAATTGTTTTTTATTCCTGAAACTAGTTTCTCAGTCCATAATATTATAACATATTCAAATCTTTTCAAAGCGGTATGGCTTATTTTTCATGTTTTTCTAAATAATTGGTCAGTTAAATGTGGTTCCAAGTTCCAATGGCTATTTTAATGTCCTAGCTTTGCAACCAATTATTTAAGCCCATATTTTTAGTGTGAGAACATATTCTACTCAAAGGTTTCCATTAGTATCATAAATAGAACACAATACTAAATACTCACCTGGAATCTCTCTCTTTGGAGCACAATTTTATTTCCTGGCTAGAGTGTGGGAGGCAGAATGCTTGCAGTGTTCTTGCAAATGTCCATTCTTCTGTGTAATTCTAAACAATGCAGCAAAGGAATGTCCAAGTCTGAAAGGTTAAGTAGACTTTTTCTCAGATTCTCATTCACATTTCTCACCAAGTTAAAAACATAAACATGATTATTTTTAGAAGACTTGAGCAACAGCAATGTCTCCAAGACAGTAGAATTAGATTAAAGGCAAGAGTTATGTGTAACTTATCTTTCTACACCCTGACCTCACAGAAGTCTAGCTCAGGAATACTTGAGCATATTCTTGGCTTTATCTTTAAAGAGCATTTAAGAAATGAGTGATTGTATTTTGCACATGGCACAGCAGAAGGTGAGATGAACAACACTGATGAGGAGACAAGCCTGTAAAGGCCAAGCATACCATGGAAAAACAAAATTATGTAAGGTATTAGTACTGTGGGGTTGGTCAAAAATTCATTTTTGCAACAAGTAAGTGCCTCTATATGCCAAGCACTGAGATAGGTACCTGGGGTGATGGAGGAAGCACCTCCTTAAATGCAAACCCAAACAAATTAAGGCTTTAAAGATAATTCTATACTACTCCTTAGCAATAAAACAACATTAACTTAAAAGATTAATTATTGATACTAGTAACAACATGTATCTCAAGATAATTATGCTGAGTAAAAGAAGCCAGACAAAAAAGAGTGCATCTTTATTTGATTCCATTTATATATTATAAGATTCTATAAAGTGACAGCAGATCAGTGGTTGACTAGGTCAGGGAGGGGCTAGAGAAAGCATTAAAAAGGGGGCACAAGTAAACTTTTAGAGGGTGATGCATATGTTCATTATCTTGTTTTTTTTTAATTTAAATTTTTATCTACTTATATTTTTTCTTTCTTTCTTTTTTTTCCCATGAAGACAGATTCCTATGTTCACTATTTTGATTGTGGTGATGGTTTCATGGATGTATAGTTGTGCCAAAATTTATTGAATTTTACACTATAAATGTTGTATGCCTAAATACCTCCATGAAGCTGTTTTTAAAAAAAAAAAATCTGGGAAAAAAGGAAGAGAGGGAAAGGAGAGAGAGGAGAGGAAATATGAATGAATTCTAGGACTCCTCTTGCAATTTTTTCTTGCTCAAGGACACCAGATGGTGTCTGATTGTGATTGTTTTTTCAGTACTTTGCTACATTTTTAACTGCCAGCATGGTCTATAGGCTCAACTTTCTAGCCTATAAAATCCTTCACTTCAGCTGGTCCTATCTCCTCTTGGACCTAGAATACAGCTTATACTCCTTGTCTCTGCTTCCATTTGCTGGGATGTTTTCTCCATTCTAAATGATCCACATTTTCTCTAACCTTTCAGGCCCAACAAAAATAAGATTTATTTCATAGTCTTTCCTATCTATTTCTGCAGAAAGAATTCTGTACCTTCTTCAAGTTTCTCTAATATTTATAATCTAAACGGCTCTTTTGACACCTATTTGCTGCCTTGTATTATTTGCTTTCCACGTCATATGTCTTATCTTCTAAACTAGATTATGAACTTCAGGGCAGAGACTGGGTCATATTTATCTTTGTGTCTCTCCCAAGGCACTTAATAAGTGCTTAATAAGTGTCAATTTAAAACACCCCACTTTTATAGTCTTTCCAATGCACTTTCTCAGCCATTATCTCATTTGATCATTACATCAACACTGAGATTGGAGGAGCTAGAAATATGTTATTTCCTCCTTTTGACAGATGAGGAACCTGAAGCCCAAGGTCACACAGCTTGTTAGAAACAGAGACAGAACAGATAATTGCACATGAAAGTCTGATCTAATTCAAGGCTTCCCATCACTATCCCCTCTATCCTCCTACCTGAAGACAGGCTTCTGCACCCTTCACCTCCTCATTCACCAAGTACTTTAGCCAAAGCTAAATAGTACCATATTAGAGAACTTGTCAAATCTGGAAGACAACATTTCAGTAGACTTCTGATCAGCTCTGAGTCACCAAAGCATGCTTGTTCCAAGTGCTGTTTGTTAGGGACATTATGCCTGATATTTAATGTTGCTGCACTACAGAGTTGAGGAAGCATAAATGATTTTTAAAAGCCTTAGAAAATAACAGCACTCTACTAGTAAACACGAAAGGTGGCAGCTGACAGACAGATCAAGGATATAACATTTCTGCACTGGACCACACCATTTCTCTAGAATTCTCTAGCTGGTACTAAAGGAAGAGGTGAAATTCTCCATCTCCCAGCACATCTAGCCCTGAGATTCCTTCCCTACCACTCCAGGATATCGGCTTCCCTGATACAAGAGATATGATAGCCTCGGTACATTTTACTTAGAATCAAATATTAATTTTCTTTATTTTTTAATTTTTTTTTTTTTTTTTTAGAGACAGGGTCTCACTCTGTGGTCCAGGCTGGAGAGCAGTGGCAGGATTATAGCTCATTGTAACCTCCAGTTTAGAACTCCTGGGCTCAAACGATCCTCAGCCTCCTGAGGAGCTGGGACAACTGTCACCACACCCGGCTTTTATTTTTAAAAATAATTTACCTCCTATTAGATGCCAGGCAAGTTTGCAAAGAAGAGGGTGTAAGGTGTGGGGGTGCGGGTGGGGGTTGGGTTTAAGATTAAGACAGAAGTGAATGAAGGATGAGAGATAAAAGGGAGGGTAGAGGGAGCAGACAGGGGGTCTGTGAACAGTGCCAGGCATGGGGCGGGGCTGGGCGGGCAGTGCCTAAGAGACATCCATGCCGGGGTGAGGAGACTGACAGGGCGCAGTGTGGGTGGCAGGTCTGGGAAGGTTCAGCGGGCCACCGGGACAGGTTTACACCCAGCAAACGGCGACCTTGAACTTAACCTCTTTGTGCCTTAGTTTTCCCCTCTGTAAAAGGGGTGTGATAGTGACTTCCCCACAGGGCCCTATAAGAACTAAATGAGGTGGGGAAAGCAAAACGCTTGGTATAGTGCCTGACTCATCGAAGGCCCACAATAAATGTTAGCAATTTTCTTAATGTTACCATTTTCTCAACATTTGCCCTTCACTGGCAGAGGGACTAAGGAGAAGGGGGTTAAAGAAGCCTTCTGAAGCTGCCCTCTTTCCCAGCCCGGTTTCCACAACCCAGGTTCGCTGACCGTTGGCGCCCAAGGGCGCGCGCCCGGCGAGGGGCGGGGCCTGCCGTTCCCGCCTCGAGTGCGGCCCCGCCCACTCCTTCCTCCCTCGCGGCCTCTGCAGCACTTTCAGCCTCCTCTCCTCCCCGGGCCTTCCTGCGCTGTCCTCCTCGATCTCGCTTCCCCCAGCCCCAGCGCGAGGCTGGAGTGTGAAGTTCCGGAGCCCTGGCGCGGGCAGGGTCCCGGGTGTAGACGCTGCCGCCCAGCCCTCCTCAGGCTCCTCGGCACTGCCTCCGTTGCTTCAGCGGTCCCAGGGTTTGCAGGTTTGCTTTAGAGGTTGGGCGGGCGGCGCTGCTGGGAGGAGGAGCGCCGGAAGAGTCAATCTGGCCAGCCCCCGGCCTCCGGCCTCGGCCGTCCTCGCCCTTGGGAATCCTTGGCCGCCCAGACAGAATGGAAGTAGGCGCCGGAGAGCCCGTTCTGCATTTTGATTCATCTCGGGCGCTGTAAGGGTCACATCTTGTGAAAATACCTGTAAAATCAATTTAACGTTCAGTGCAGCGTGTAAAGACAGCTCTAAGAATTTAAAAGACGCCTGAGTCAGAACATTTAAATGCTTGGGTCCCTGTAGCAGCGTTTTAACACGTCTGAGTGCAGAGGGTGGAGAATCGAGTCTGATTGCCAGTCTGATTGCCATTCACGCCCTGTAACCTTTAAAAAGGGTAAAGAAAAGCACCCTAAAGAACCCCCAAGTGGGCAGTTCCTCCAGGGAAGTGAAAACAGCTAACTTTTTGAAGTTTAAGTTGGTCCTGATTGCCGTGTGCAAAATTTGCCTGCAAAACTTTTTATTTGCAGGCTTAGATCAACATCAATGATAAACAGAATTGTTAAAACACTGAGCTTAACTAAGTAGTGGCTTTTGTTGACAAGTCAATTGTGCTATTAATTCTTAATGTCTCATCCAAGGCAGTAATCGTTATCTCAGTTTTGCAGGTGGAAAAAAGTTTGGCACAAAAAAGGAATTTCCCTTAAATTCACACAGAAGCAAGAGCTGAAAATTAAGTCCTAGCATTCTGCCTCGGCTGGGTCCTCCTCTGGACCATGTTACAAAACAAATGAGTAGTTACTTTGATGTTACTCATAAAACGAGCAAGTAAACCAAATGTTCTGTGAACATGAAGTGTTAAATCATAATAACCTTCAATGACTGTTCTGCTCTGGGAGGCTCTTCTGTCCTTTGGAGTTTGATACCCTACAAGAGGAGGGGGTGGAGCACAAACATGGAAAATAATGTCAAGGGAAAAATTTTGTCTCCTGAGTCCAAACTCTGTCCATCTTTACTGCCTCTCTTTGCTGGTGTCACTCTTTTCTGTGTCCTCCATGTTCTGGCAAAACACAGATCACGTCCCAGCTGCAGCGGTATTAACTATACCTGTGCATCACTCTGTTGGCACTGACCTCACTGTCAGTCTTCTTGTCATGCTCTTTCCTCCAGGTGCTCTTTGCTAATGCTGTTATATGAAAACCAGTTGTTGTTGTTCAAGTGTGGAATGATTTGTCACTCCTGAGGGATGATTCTAGAGTTAATGATCAAAAACTACCAACAGATCTTAGATGAAAGGACAAGTTAAAGAAGCACAAAAACACTATTATGGAATTTGATAGCTGAGTTATTTGACTGGGGGAAAGAAAGCAGACTTTGATTTTTTCTCTCCCTAGTTCACTCATAACTGGAAAGCAGCAGCTCAGTTTTAACTGACATAATTGTGGTGGAGAATCCTCTTGTTTAGATTCTAGTGAATTGGAAAGTTTTCTTTCTTTTTTTTTTGAGACACAGTCCTACTTTGTTGCCCAGGCTAGAGTGAGTGCAGTGGTGTTAGCCTAGCTCACAGCAACCTCACACTCATGGGCTCAAGCAATTCTACTGCCTCAGCCTCCCAAGTAGCTGGGACTACAGGCATGCGCCACCATGCCCGGCTCATTTTTTCTATATATATTATTTGGCCAATTAATTGCTTTCTATTTATAGTAGAGATGGGGGTCTTGCTCTTGCTCAAGCTGGTTTCAAACTCATGACCTCAAGCAATTCGCTCACCTCAACCTCCCAGAGTGCTAGGATTACAGGCGTGAGCCACCATGCCCGGCTCAGTTTTCTTTCTTTTTAGGAGACTTGTTTTGGACAGCTTGGAACAAATGGACACCTTTATATGCTTAGAATGTGAAATGTTTTGGTGATTGTAAGTCTGTCGATAAAAACCATATAAGAGCTTGGGACCCTGAATATGTGATATAGTTGTGCTCTATAAAAGGCATCCCTGAGATTCCTTCCCAGCTTGTGGACAATAAAACTCAAACCCAAGGTAGTTTTACCTGGAGCAGCCAGCTGTTTATTCACCTTTTTTTTTTCCCCCACTTGATTCCATAGATAAGAATCCTAAGCAAATCAAATGGCATCTGGAGATTTCTGCTCACCTGGAGAAGGGATGGAAATACTTCAACAAGGTAAGCATAGCCATTTGCAAAAGGTTTGATGATTTATCCAAAGAGGTCTTATCTATGTTCTTGCCTTCTGTAATAAAAAGGATTTACAATGTTCACCAGTGTGGTTTCTTTCATAGAAGCCTAGAATATATGGAGATTCTTGAATATTCTGTTATTGGAAAACAGATGATACCAACTCATGTTAGTGTAGGTTCAGTATCTGCTTGTGCAGCAGACTAAAAACTCAAGATGCTCCCAAGCTGTATTATCAGACATTACAAAGAGTGGCCAACAAATTCCTTCAAGGCTTCCTTCTTATATCTTGAATTTTCTCATCTTTTGTTCTCTAAAATCTGAAATCCTTCTATATCTTGAGTTCTTTTTACATCTCAAATCCTTTTTATATCTTTTTTTTTTTTTTTTTTTAGGAGATAGCTAGGCTGATGCCACGGCACTCACTCTAGCCTGGGCAACAAAGTGAGACTCGTCTCAAAAGAAAAAGAAAAAGAAGAAGAAGAAAGTAAGAGAGAGAGTGAGAGAGAGCGCATGCACGCGCGCGCTCGTGTGTGTGTGTGTATGAATGAATGCACCTGTGTGCATGCACTGGACTATAGGGCTCAATGCACCTAAATTTGGGAGTGTGGCTAGCCTGAAGTTTCCTAGACATCCCACCCAGTAATTTGCATATCCACAGAGACCCAC